GACGTCGATCTTCGTGAATGGCCTGCCGAATCTTCGTAACATTTTCGGGCGTTGTGCCTGAAGATGGTCGTCCAGAACGCTCGTCTTGAAATGTTTTATGTGGTGATAGGTGTTTGTGGTTGAGATTTGTATTCCTCCTAAATGCAGATCAGTTGTCATATTGGTAGCTCGATGTTGTGGGAATGAGTGTTGCATTTGTCATTCATTTGGTTGCCCTGCTGACATCACCTGTGATGTGGCATGAAAAAATCTTTTGAATTTCAACATAATCCAAAGAGTGTGCCACAATTTTTTGTAAGAAATTGTACATTTGTGTGTTACAGTTGGAAAAAGTCTGTATATTTTGTAATTAAGAGTTATAACGTGCGCACGCGCGCACACTTGTTTTGTCATCTATAGTTTTATTCAGCATGTGTTGTGTTTTGTTTTCATATGCTTGAACTTATATGGGGCAAGGATTTTATGTGATTCATATTTATGGTCATACGAGGTGCGACTGAAACAATGCTTTCTTTTCAGTTTGTTAAAGCATCCCACTGGTCATTTGTGCCTACGCATGCCTTTTTCACAATATTTTATGAATATTAATACCACAAGTGATTACAATAAATATAGTTCAACTGCATTTAGATTAGCAAGGAGCATGTGACTGCAGATTGCAGAGCTACAAGTGTGGCTGATGCATACATTACGAAATTAAGTTGTCTTCATGATAGATTTTCTTTAAACTTGTTACAAACACCATATCACTAGAGGTCAGCCTACTTTTGTACTTTGTAACTACCTAGGTGTACGCCGTCCTGACCCGAGTGATGACCGAGATGTAATTGCTCGACATGCTGAAATATATCCAAAAGAAGATGAACTGCAAGCTGTTCAGCGTATAGCGTCACACACTGAGAAGGCACTGAAGTTTGTGTCGGACCATTTGCCTGACTTGGCTGACTTTGCGGCAAAACAGGCAACTGCTGCTAAGCCTGTGGTTGGTGCAGGGGCTAAACCTGTCGGTGTGGGGACCGAGGTTGTAAATCCACCTGTTAAAAGTGGCACAGCAGGTGTGTAGTAATTTTGTAATTTGTTAATGAAATTACATGCGATGAGTTGCAGTGATGACATACCTAGCTCGCTTTGATGAATAACTGAAGAAAATCGTTTGTTCCCTATTATTGTACCTGAGCAACTTGTCAAGGAAAAGAGATATAACATCTCTTAAATGTCGCAAAAAGTTGATAATTTCCATAATAAGTACTACTTAACCTAGTTAAAGTATCTGTATTCAGGTAAACCTATTCCTGGAATTGAAACCTGCTGTTGGAACCAAGATCATTGCTGGAAACTCACCTGCAGTTAAGCCTGCAGGCCAAGGTCCAGTAAAAACTTAACCCATAGAGAAGGTTAAACCAGATGCAGTTAAAGAAGAAAAGAGAGAAGATGGCCGTGATGGGAATCTGTAAGTATATCAATTTTTGCAGATTTGTTCTCATAGTTAAGACATTAAGACAACTCGTGCCGTAGTGTAATCGCCCTTTGCTTCCAATAATACTCGCCCATTTCTTAATGGTTCAAGGACAGTACAAGAGGGAAAGGAAAGAGAAGGAATATAGGAGTGGGTTAAAGTGGCATAGTAGTGCCAGATCTGACATTGATATGCCACTGTAAGGGTTCAGGTGTGCCACAATTTTTTGTAAGAAATTGTACATTTGTGTGTTACAGTTGGAAAAAGTCTGTATATTTTGTAATTAAGAGTTATAACGTGCGCACGCGCGCACACTTGTTTTGTCATCTATAGTTTTATTCAGCATGTGTTGTGTTTTGTTTTCATATGCTTTCATATATGTGCGGAAAGAGAGGCTAGATTCCAGTGTGCATGTTAGTGCAAGCTGAATAATATTCATCTAAATTTTAAAGAAACCATTGGATTTCATAAAACCTAGGGAATAAGTGACTGTCAGCTTTTCAATAAGAACTCTTGCTTGTAGATAGTTCCATATGTTATGAGGAAGAATAGGCTTATGGATACATGTTTCTGTATGTCCAGCTGCTCTCCTCCCAGAATTTTTGTAACCAGTTGATAGATTTTCTTTAAACTTGTTACAAACACCATATCACTAGAGGTCAGCCTACTTTTGTACTTTGTAACTACCTAGTACCACTAATATTAATATGGTGGTGGTACTAATACAACATACGTAATAGAAGGTCTTGAAATGTTTTGTGTGGTGGAAGGTGTTTGTGGTTGAGATTTGTACGAGGTGCGATCGGAAAGTTTACAGACTGCGCCTATAAAATCCCGTACACTTATCTCAGGTATTAAATTCATCCATCACCCTCGAAGTAGTTCCCCTGGGAGTGAACACAACGATCCCAGCGCCGCTGCCAAGCCTGGAAGCATCACTGGAAATCTTTCTTTGTCAGCCTGTCAAGCACCATCTGCGATTCTGCCTGAATCTCTTCTATCGTCTCAAATCTAATTCCCTTTAGCTGAAATTTCATCTTTGGGAAGAGGAAGAAGTCACACAGAGCTAAATCCGGCAAGATCTTTGAGCTCCTGACAAACGAGAAGTCAAGGCGATTCTGCTTCTGGTCCTCAGACAGGAACCTTGGCACAAACTTGGCTGCGATGCGTCGCATGTGGAGTTCTTCCTTTAGAATCAGCTGACAGGCCCCATAGCCTATCCCAACAATGTCGCACAAGTCGTTGATGGTACGACGTCGATCTTCGTAACATTTTCGGGCGTTGTGCTCGAAGATGGTCGTCCAGAACGCTCGTCATCATCGACAGAGGTTCGGCCATTTTTAAAACGTGAATGCCACACAAAAGTTGGTGCACGACCCATTGCGGACTCCCCAAATGCTTGCTTTAGCATTTCACAGGTTTCCGTAGCCGTTTTGGCGAGACTTTGGCAAAATTTGATGCACACTCTTTGTTCATGAAAATCCGCCATTCCGAAATCGCAGGAGGGTCGGTGTAATGCACTACCAAAACGCCCGTAACTAAGAAACAAATGCTAATTCGATGATGCCGGCTGGCACACTGATTCACTATGAATGTAGGCCGCACCCCCTAGCAGCAGAAGCTCGTACTACATCCGGTCTTCTCCCTCATTCATCATTTCATTTCTCACTTATTTGCTTTATCTCATTCCCAGTTTTCTCCCATATTTGCAGTGTTGAATATTCTGGTTTTTCCTGTGTCTTTCAAGTTATCACAAGTCTGCTCTATCCATGTAACTGTTACAGTAGGGCACCGCATATACGGCAGGTTAGGGACCATACCCCCGCCGAAAAGCGGATCTTTGCATTTTTTTCACTTGCAAATGCATATCAAAGCCTAATAAGATGTTACACTATCATATCGTAAGTGCACAATAGCGCTAGGCCTAAGAACACGATATGAAAGTAAAATGAATATCAGTAGTAGCTGTAAACGCCGGACGCACTTCTCTGACTCGGTTGTTGAGCGCGTGGGGCGTATGCACACAATTGAAAAGCGCCGTATTAGCGGATCGCCGAAAAGCAGGGGCCCTACTGTACTGAATGTACGTTTTGTAATGCATGAACAGTCTTTAACTGTTCTCACTGCATATTATTTTCTCACCACTTTCCTGAAATAATGAAATTTTAATTTAAAATGTGGACAAATCAATTTTTTTTTTTTTTGCCAACATACGACTACGAAATTCCCGTACTCTCGTCTCCCTATTCCGATCTTTACGGCGAGACGTTGACTACGATTAGTACAGACCGCGGAATATCAAATTTAATATAAATCCGTTTAGTAGTTTTTGGAGCTATAACATGGCTTCAGACGGAAAGATAATCCTGTCTTATATGAGACACTGGACCCAAGGTTCGCGGGTTCAAACTCGGCCGAGGTCGATGGATTTTTAAGTTGTGATAAAAATCAATAGCCGGAGGTCCCATGTCGTAGATTTACGGCATGTAAAAGAACCTTACGAGATGTTTCGTAAGTAAAATTCAGCGGCCATTTCTCGCCCAAGTCTCTCCTGATTCACTACTAGATGGCTCTGGTAGTCAAAATCAGGATTGAGTAGAAATTGTGCAGAGGCAGTGGGTTGGTCACTCACTACTCAAATGCACACTTCAAAAGACTAAGAAACCCCTGACAAAGGAGGCTGCGAAAACCCCGAAACAGTGTTGTAAAGCCGGGAAACAACAACAACAACTATAGGGACAGAACAGTCAGTCTTTATTATATACGAGGTGCGATCGGAAGGTTTCCAGACTGCGCGTATAAAAACCCGTGCACTTATCTCAGGTATTAAATTCATCCATCACCCTCGACGTAGTTCCCCTGGGAGTGAACACAACGATCCCAGCGCCGCTGCCAAGCCTGGAAGCATCCCTGGAAATCTTTCTTTGTCAGCCTGTCAAGCACCATCTGCGATTCTGCCTGAATCTCTTCTATCGTCTCAAATCTCCTTCCCTTTAGCTGAATTTTCATCTTTGGGAAGAGGAAGAAGTCACACGGAGCTTAGAAAGGAAGTTGGGGTCGGTTCTTGCAAGATCTTTGAGCTCCTGACAAACGAGAAGTCGATTCTGCTTCTGGTCCTCAGAGAGGATGCGTCGCATGTGGAGTTCTTCCTTTAGAATCAGCTGACAGGTCCCAACAATGTCGCACAAGTCGTTGATGGTACGACGTCGATCTTCGTAACATTTTCGGGCGTTGTGCTCGAAGATGGTCGTCCAGAATGCTCGTCATCATCGACAGGGGTTCGGCCATTTTTAAAACGTGAATGCCCCACAAAAGTTTGTGCACGACCCATTTCGAAGTATTTCCCCAAATGCTTGCTTTAGCATTTCATAGGTTTCCGTAGCCGTTTTGGCGAGTCTTTGGCAACATTTGATGCACACGCCATTCCGAAATCGCAGGAGGGTCGGTGTAATGCACTACCAAGACGCCCGTAACTAAGAAACAAATGCTAATTCGATGATGCCGGCTGGCACACTGATTCACTATGAATGTAGGCCGCACCCCCTAGCGGCAGAAGCTCGTACTACATCCGGTTCGCCCTCTATTGATACAGTCTGGAAACTTTCCGATCGCACCTCGTATAACTTATAATATTATTCATGTAACAGTGTAATGTACAATATTTTGTTATTTATTTTTGGTCCCTGAGTAATGTAACTGTACATGTTAGCTGTACACTACATGATGACAAGGCTGCTAAAACAAACTCGTGTGTGATCTACTCATGTTACAGGCTCGAGCCATTTTTGCTCTGATTTAACAAGAGTTCACATTGTAAATCACACAAAAAATAAAATTGCAATTTTGAAGTTCAGTTTTTCGTGTGGATGGCTTCATGCGTTAAATGAACTGGATGACCATGTATATGAAAGGCTACATTTGGCAGCAGATGTGTTCAAAGTAGTGCCATTGTTTTCAATCATGAAGAATATTGTGAGAAGAGGACATGTTTTCATTCAGTCCTTTGCACATTTACGTATTGTACATCCTCTCCCCTTAGAAAACAGCCTCTTTGGTCATTGTAGCATTGATAGCTTCATACTTATTAATATATTGCAGGCAATGGAACTGCTTGTAGAGAAATTCATCAGTTCAGCTGGACAGCCACTGAGTCCAGGGGATGCGTTACGTCAGATTATGGAAGCACTGGCTTCTGGTATTTTATTGCCAGGTGGTCCAGGTCTTCTGGATCCCTGCGAAAAGGATCCATCAGATGTTGCAGGGAACATGCTGCCTCAACAACGGGAGGACATAACTGCTTCAGCACAGGTGCATTTTAATTTTGCTGTCCTGTACTATTCAGTCTAAAGTGTTCTTTGTTCGCTGCCAGAATTTTTTAATGGAATTTCAGTCTTTGGGTTACCAGTGAACTGAGAGGAAGGGATTTTATTGAAACATATTTTCTTCCTTTTCATCATGCACTCCGATTGATTGCCTTCCGTCAAATACACAAGGTGCTGGGAATGGATCCATTACCACCTCCAGAGTTTACTCGTGGAAGATTTAACCGTAAACGTAGGCGTGGCAGTAGCCCTGGAGAAGGCAATGATTCTGAAGGTAAACGTGTAGTTATTCTTTCTGTACATTAAGTATCTTTTTGATGCTGTTTTAAACTGCCCCCATTTATTTATGAGACTGGACGTTAGACTGTTGAAAATTTTTATTCTTGTGTAATATTCACTCTTCTAAAAGCATGAGGGGTTGGCAGTTGGTCTATGAAACTGATACTTATTCATTGTGTTGACAGTATGTATATCTGAAATTATTGAGACTATGTAATACCTATTGAAAACTGTTAGAATTGGTTAGTCTGTGGTTTATTAAAGTATATAGTAATGATTTTAGGTGCAGATTTTTAAGATGTACAGCAGTGGTCCCCAATGCGGTGCCCGCGGGTGCCATGGCGCCTGCCAAGGCTTTCTTTGGGTGCCCGCGTTGTTACAGAAAGAGGTTATACTTAATAATGAAGGCTGTTCAACCATGAACATTATAAAATCAAAGCGCAGATCTCGACTTACTGACGCCCATCTTGATGATTGTTTGCGAGCAGGAACATCATCCTACACTCCCAAATTTGAAAAACTGGCCGATGAAATGCAGCGCCAAACTTCCCACTTGAGTAATAATAATTGTACTTATAAAACTACGTATTTTTGATTGCATGGTTTCTTGTATCATTAAACGTCGTGTTGTTTTGTGTATTATTTGGTGTCCATATCTTATTTGTCCAGAGAAAAGAAAATTTGGCTTTGTTAATTGGTTGGTGCCCGCCACGATCTCATAAACTCTCAAATGTGCCCGTAGGCACAAAAAGGTTGAGGACCTCTGGTCTACATAATCTGTACAAATTAACATGCTTATACATCACTGTCTCTATATTCAAGTGACATGTATGTGAAAAAGTTTAATTTTTAACTCCAATGTTTAACAAAGAAATCTGGTCATAAGAAGCAACAAATGGTAGTTGCCTTCTAATACTGGTACACGTTCACCGTCTGCAGAAAACAAGTTACATCAAAACAGCGAGGATAAAACATTTTATTTGTCCTAAAAATTTACATAATAATATGTTTGTCTGTAGACTTACAGGTGTGACTGGAAGGAAATATATTAGTTTGCAACTAAAGGCACACTGAACTTGCCGAAGTATGAATGCAGATGTACTGGATACTGGAAACGACCCTTTCTTCAAGTGCCTGAGCACTGCGGGTCCCAACTTTTCGTTGGATCAATCCATTGACACTCAATAGGACTCCTCGGACGAGGAATGCAGATATAATGAATAAAATATTACAAAACTATAAATGTATCACAAATAGAATCCCATCATTTTGTAATTAAACTATATGGTCATTTGCATTTTTACATAACAGCTTCAATTAAACACAAATATCAAATATTATGTTCTTTGTGGTGACTGAACACCGTAGTCAATCTGGTTACCACAGCCCAGAGTCTGGTTATACTGAGATATTCATGGTATTCCTCAGTCCCTCCAAACAAGTTTCAAGGTAGTATCTTAAATTAGGACACGACTGTTTCCATCCACATCCTTTCTGATTCATCAACTGCTAATCATTCCATAATTTTACACTACAGAACATGAGCTACTGACAGCATTGTTAATCGCCCTGATGGGAATCTCCTGAAATGTGTCCTTGGACAGATAGATTCACTACATAGTCTGTATGTAAAGTATGTTTAGTATAGTCTTAACATGAAAGCTAAATGTTAAAAATGGGTGTAGAGCATTTTCAGTTTGTGAATATATATTTTTGTGTGTGGCTTCTAGGAATGTGATGTCTGCTGAAGAAAATATAGATAAGACTTGTTTACCTGATAAAAGGTACCTACCATTTCCCATGAACATTCTGTCACACTCCTCAACTTAATTTCCATGTGAAAACAGCTGTTTGTATTGAATGAGTCAGTACAATGTTCTAAAGAGTGATTACCCACCATTTAATAAAACAGGCATTTTTGTTCTTTACCTGCTTATGCAGAATTCCTTGTCTGTATAAGCAAATTTGACGTAGATTCCATTCTTCCAGAAAATTGTGACCGTTTCTACCGATATGGTGCATATACATATTTCTGAAAAGCCTTGGTCATAATTAGGTGTAAGTATGAAAAATCTAGTTTCAGCACCTCATCATTGGCTGAAAATTTGAGGAACATATGATATTTTGTTCTAAATTTCCCCAAGATAAATTTTCAATTTCAACACCCATCGACTGAAGAACAGAAAATAGGGAATGAGAACACCGCCGAAATTGTGTTGGTAGCATGTTATGGTTTACGGACTGCACATTTATCTGATTTTGTGGTTATGTGACGTACGAAGTAATTTTAAGGACATTCTACACAACGAACACCGTATAGAAAAGGAGCGAAATCATTTGAACAGGCTTCAGGAGCTTTGTTGGGAAGAACTTGCGGTGGATAAGTACATTTTTTTTGACGTAAATACGTCTATAAGGCAGGGTCATTCGGCAAAAAAGTGTTACGAAAAAAGGAAACGAAAAAGTGTAACTGCATTGTTATGTTACCTAGGAAACGTCACCTGTTTACTCGGCATTGTTGTGATTCATTATTGCCGTCAACAATCCGCTTTCGTTATTGCGGCAAGAGCTGAGCTGTGAATCGTTTGTAGAAGAAGTGCGTCGTGGAGTAGATAATTTTGTGCTGGTAACAACGTTTTACAATATCACAAGTACTTATTTTATATAATAATTATTAAGTAATCTGTTGTTGCGTTAGTTTGTTACGTCATACTATGTACAAGATGGATGAGATTGATGCTAAAAGACTCCATAATGCAGAATATATGAGACAGTACAGAAAACGTAAAAAATAGAAGTATTAAATAATGACACTAAAGTTTCCACTACACTACATTACTTCCATTTATGCAAATTAGGAGGTTAAGACATCAATTGGGTGCATTTGGGATACTGGGACAAGTAACCAATGTTCCAGTAGATGTTAATAATATGGTAAGGTTACTTCCTAGAGAATTGGACGATGATTATAGTTTCAACGTCCATATAAAGAGAAACTTGATTCACAAATCTACGTATCTGGTAGGAATTAAGAATAAAAGAAATATTTAGAATAAAGCCAATATATAAACTCCCTTACAGTATAGACGTATTTACGTCAAAATCTCCGGAACCGTGGTTCCACTGACAATTTTTGTTTTATGAAGAGATACTTGAATAAATTTATCACAATGACATGGAATCCTACGACGCTGTGACGAAACACCTAATTTGTGTATGTAATTTGTGAAACACCAGTAGCATTAGGCAATCACCCCGGCTACGTGCTTCAGAATGAATAAAGAATATAAAATTATTCCTTCGAGTGAAACTGTATCCAATGTATGGTATTAACCAACGTTTCGACAAACATTACAGTTGTATTTTCCAGGTGACGAGAACTGAAGGCCCCACTTTGAAATTGTAACTGCAGTTTGGTAAAACGTGGGTTAATAGCAAACCTAAGTTATACTACATTGAACTCCAGCTGTGAAGGTTTATGGACAAGCTTTATTCAGGTTCCTACTGCAAAATGTATGGGAGAGAGAGAGAATAAACACATTTCATTGTTCTTTTGAATACTGTTATTATCTGATGGTTTGCAACTGCTCGATAGTTTTCATTCGATTGTGCCAATCAGTTTCCATATCTTCATACCGAGATTGCAGATGTCATGTTGGTATTACTTGAGGCAGATGTGATATGTATCGAATTTGTTGCAGGAGTCATGGAGAGTTGTTAATCGTTCAGTCTGCCGTGTTTGTAATTGTGTTTTACTTCTGTTGTGCTAATTGATGCGGCAGAGAGATTGATAAAACTATTAGAGGTTTTGGTTAGTGGCGTTGATGTATGTACATTTGTTGAAATTCGAGTGGATAAAAGAAAGTACTGTGAAACGTATTGCAGTAGTTTCGCAGATTTAGTACCACATGGTTGAATTTCAGATTATGACGTATACTTGTTTTTGTACATCTGTGTTTACTGAGTTTTTAGATATATAGTTCCAGTACTTATATTTGGTAAGTTGTAAAATGAAATGTATGTGAATCATACAATTGAGACATTACTCCAGTTCTTATTTCTGATGTTTTGCACTGAGTAAGAAAGGGTCTTTTGTTGAGACAGTAAATATGTATTGTTATCCCAAATATATTTAGGTCTCCAAAGTGTTTTTTTTACTTCAAATTTGCTGACCAAAATTTTTTTGATTTCTTATTTCTGCGATGTCTGATGCATGCCTTATCCATCTTATGTAATATTTTAGAAAGAGCAGCTCCATGCTTAGTTACATAGAAAGAAAGTCATAAAATATCGTAAACTTTGTCATATTTTTGTTTACATATATTTGTCTATATACCACAAATCTGAACATATTTTGATAAATTTTGAAACAAAAATTCTTCATTGCTTTCAGATTTAGTTTATGTTAAAACATTATGGTGGATGTTGCATTCAATGACATCATGATCCAATTGGTTGAATATAAGATAAGTAAATGGAAGCTGGATGATGATGGTGAGTCTTTAATTTTGAATTCTGTTATCTCCCTTAATAATTCCTGAATGTAATGTAGCTTTAAGTGTAATGGATTCAAATTAACAATGACGGGATCTCTAAACTTAAATACTGTTTTCCAGAACATGATGAAAGTAGTAGTGCACCTAGTTCAGTAAGCAACGAAGGCCCACCAGTAAGGAAATTATATGTGGGAAATTTAAGTGGTAGGGTAAGTAACGTTGTTTTTTATTTTCATTTTTGTGTGGAAGTCTCACTTTATATATATATATATATATTTGAAGAAACTGTTACAGTTTTGAACACATCAAAAGTAATCAGAATATGTTTTGAATATTCAGAATAGTTGCAGGGCACATTTTCATTTTGGTTGAGTTGGAGGTAGTATGAAGACAATGTGTATTGATTAAAGTTTTATTTCATAAAATATTGGTGAATGTAAATGTGAATGTAAGGATATAGACATTCATTGTAAAGTGGATATCTCTGTTGACCGAGACTAATGAAGCTTATTAAGAGTGCACCTGTATTTGACTGCTACCTGGTATATATTTAATGAATTTGAAATGGCTTTAGGAACCACATTTCTCAAGTGCCTAATTAAACTTTTAGTTATGTTTTTTGAGTCCTTCATTAGTTAATGAAACTCTGTACAGCACTTATACCGGGTCTACAATTTATGAGGCTGCGGTCGTGCTTCCATTGCGTGGTTGGCCGGCGTCCCGTTGATGCGGGCGGGAGTTGTGCGCGATCTTCCGGTGGGTGACCGGCGAATCAGTTTCAGTGCCGCTAGTAACAGCGAACTACGAATATTTCTGTCACTAATACATGTTATTACATTAATTGTTCTTACCTTAAATCATAAAAGGTGCTCAAAGTGACTTCCTTGTGGTTGCAGGCAATTTCACATCTCGTTAACATGTTTCGAAATTCTCGATGAAGCTCTTCTTGGGATATTGCCGAAATGAATTGTCGAATATTTTCTTTAAGTTCTTCTGCAGTGTGCGGATTGTTTACATAAACTTTGTTCTTCAGCATGCCCCACAGGTAAAAATCGCACGGGTTTAAGTCTGGGGAACGCGGAGGCCACTGATCGATAACTTGTTCACCAAACACTTCTCTTACCGATCAGCTGCGTGAGCTGTAGCATTGTCTTGCATGAAGAAACCGGAGGTCTTTTCTTGGAAAAAGGGTCTAACTATTAAATTTACATAACGTTCACAATTTATCCGCACACTGCTGAAGCACTTAAATATTCGGCAATTTCCCAAGAAGAGCTTCGTCGAGTATCTCGAAACAAGTTAACGAGATGTGAAGTTGCCTGCAAGCACAAGGAAGTCACTTTGAACATCTTTTGTGATTTAAGGTAAGAACAATTAATGTGATAACATGTATTAGTGACGAGAAATATTTGTAGCTCGCTGTTACTAGCGGCACTGAGACTGATTCGCCGGTCACCCACCGGAAGAACGCGCACAAATCCCGCCCGCATCAACGGGACACCGGCCGACCACGCAATGCAAGCACGACCGCAGTCTCATAAATTGTAGACCCGGTATCAGAAATATCATATACATGTTTCATTTACTAATTAATTTTAAGGGTGATTTTACTTAAAGCTTTACAAATACCTTATGGATCCTTTGGAATAATTTGGTTAAACATAAAATTTATTAATTTCATTTTACAAGGTTTACCATATGTGTTTGATTCACTTAATTTTATTTTAAGGGCCATGTATGTTACTTAAGAGACTGACAGATTTATATAAAGCTTGTCTTGTTTCATCTTTAGACATCTTACTGTGATCTACGTCGTCTTTTCCGTCACTATGGGAAGGTTGTTGATGCTTATATTTCAAGAAATGTAATTACCCGGGCAAGAAAGAAATATGGCTTTGTGACATTTAAGTACCCAGAAGATGCATCTAGGTAAATAGAACACATTTAAAATATCAATCTTTTGCCTGTAATAGTTGGCTCAGATTATTAAAGTGAAAATGTGTAAATAACTGGCAGTCTTGATTCTTAAGATTACGGACTGAATTTCAGTTGTTCATTTTATCTTTTTCTTTCTTTCTTTCTTTCTTTCTTTCTTATTAGGGTCTGTGTGTCTCAAGATTTAGAATCTGGCACAAAATGAACTTTGTCTCTTATCAATGTCTGTGGATAAATTAAATTAAATTAAATCCGTGGCGTAACAGCTCCAGAGAGCCAAAGCCGACTAGCT